CAACGGAGTTCATCATAAAATGGGGAGTTATTTGGACATAAGAACTTAAACAAGATCCTAGACATTGGCTCTCCTGCCCATTAAATGTAAGTTGGAGTTTTAATTACTTAGGATTCTTCTAGTATTTTATAGACATGTTTTAAATACTGGCCTAATCTTCTAAACAAACCAAAAGCGATATGAAATAGGAGTTGAACCAGTTTGCAATTAGAGAGTAAATTTAGTGTGAGATTCTGATAGGTGTAATTCATTTCTCTTCAAACTAGTCAGTAGTACAAGGGTTGGTTTCAAAATTCTATTTTATTAAATTATAAAACGTGCATTTCAACCAATCAATTATTTTTATTTCCAAACTCGATTGCTCATTCCAACAATTTGCAAAATGAATTTTAAAAGAAAACTAGTCCCTGTAGAGACGAACTTGGAATATTTAYAGATTATTACTTGTGACGCACTTGCACTCGTCCCTCTCGCTAATAAGCGGAGGCGCAACAATAAACTTAAATCTTTTTTAGTTATTTATAGACGTTTATAATATATTAATTTTTACCAAACAGTAAATTGTCAAAAGGGTTCTAAGTTGTTTGTATCAAGAAAAGGAAAAATAAAAAATTTTAAATTTGGGAATATAATCGATGAATTCAGAAATTATGAAGCCGACCCTTTATAGATCTTATGATTTGAGCATTGATTGTTTGTGTAATTTTAACAAGGCATTAATATGCTATTTATTGGAAAATTCACAATGACAAATGTGAAAAAAAAAACTTAAATTCAGAAGTTACTTAGGAAAACAAATGATTCAATGAAAACAACCAATTCAATAAAAACAACCATATGTTTTATGTTTTTAGAGTTTTTTAATATTTGTATCCAAGAAATTTAAAAATTAAATTTCAGTTTAAAAAATTGTTTAATGTATTTTTTTAATATATTTGTAAATTGATGAACTAAATATTTAGTTAAATATAACATATTATTAATTAAACATATATGTTATGAAATCTGTATATTTATTATAATATATTATATTTTACATATTTTAAGTTTAACCAGAGTTTATAGCATAAAATAATATATTWATTAAAAAATTTATTTTCTTAATTTTACTCCACATTTTAAAATTTCAAAATTTAAATTTGAAAATRCTGAAAAACAAAAAAATATTGTTTTCATAGACTTGCTATTTGAACTATAGAATTCTGCTAAACCAATATTAATTAAAACCAACATTAATTAAATTTATTTTTATTGAGTGAACGTGAAAACAAGAAATAGAATACCAAAAAATTTTCTTAAAACTCTTCCTTCATTTTTAAGAACCTCACTTCCTTAGAATCAATTTCCTTTAAATATCAAATGGGCCAACAAAAAATAATAATTTATTATTATCTTTTACTTTAGAGATTAAAGAAGCCCTCCCCATGAAGAAAGGGTTTCTGTTATTTTTTAATATATTTTTAAGAAATTTTAAGGTAGATGAACTAATCATTTCTAGAGAGAGACTTCGTATATATTATTATAGATAAATCATACTTTTAAAAATAATTAAATAAATTTTGTTTTTTAAATAAGCCAAAGAAAAAACATGGCAGATTCTTCTTTCACCCTAACCTGAAATAGTTTTCAATTTCTTTGTGGCCACAGCTCTCCCACTTGGCCAAACGCCAACGCTAAAAAAAACCCACAAAATTAATTTCTCAAAAACATCAAAATCTGTTAAAAACAAATAATAGCAATAAATAATTCCCATCATTTATAGATATTTCCAATCCAACCCCAAAACAGAAAAAAGGGGGTTAAATTACAAAAGAAAAAAAAGGTTAAATTTTGCCATTTGTTTTAAAAAATAATCATATTATTTTAAAAGTTTCAATATCACTCTGGAAGAAAGAAGTGACGTGGCAGAATTTAAAATGCTTGATAATTAACTTCTAAAAACTTGTTTGGATTAAGTTTGAAAAGARTCCGTAGAAAAGTTATTTTATAAAAGGTGGTTAGTGCAAAATTAGATSGACRATGAAGAAACAAACTCTCCTGACAAAAGAGAAAGAAAATTTTTAGGATAAAATTAGAACGTTAGGACCCGTTTAGTAATGTTACTGTTATCTCATTATAAATAAAGAAAAATGAATTGCATGGTTCCAACATCAATGAATTCAAGTATGATAAAACAATCTTTTTACTTATGTTTTGGACCAAATTGGGAATGAAAACGAGAAAGAAGAAACTTTTTGGTTGTTTTGAAAATTTATATACAATTTTGGGAATGTTCCAAAAAAAAAGAGAAACGATAAACTTAGTTGTAAAATGCTTAGATTTCTTAAGAAAATTAGAAACGAAAAACAAGAAACGAAAACGTTACCGAACAGATCCTTAATTTCCCATGTTGCATGTCATTTTAGGTCMTGTTTACTTACTCCCAATCGTAATGAAAATCAATCGTAATGAATCAATCGGAATGRGAATGTTATTCCATTGATGTTGTTTACTTGAACATATCTGGAATCAGAATCAGAAACCAATTCATGGTGTTTGCTTCCATCCGGAATCGTAATCAGACACATGTTGTTTACCAAAATACCTTTATATATTTATAACTAATATAAAATTACATTAAATAAAAAAGGATGTTATGGGATTTTTTATATTGAAAAAAATAATTACTTATAATAATTTTTAGATGTACTTATATCAGTAATAAATTATATATTTTGTATTTAAGTCTAAATTTTTTTTTACACTTTATTTGATATTATTATTACATTATTTATTATAATAAACTTTATTTTATCAATTCAATCTAAAATTAAATAATTTTATAATACAATGAGAAGAGGAAAAGCGGTAATTGAGCACTTGAAAAAATAACCCTAAAAGAAAGTAAAAAATCGTGAGTCTACRTGAGAGAGAAAAGAGCMTTGGTTGTCAAATTACCAAAAATTATTGGTCCCACACATTAAAGAATTGGAATGGGATTGCACAGCTATTTTGCTGTGCAATGGGATTGTGCATTTTTTGGGAAGTGATTCCAAAATTTGGAGTGGTCCAACGTTTTATTCCCATTCATTTATTTTGATAAACATAATCAAACCTAATGAAAATTTTGATTACAATTGCGACCCAATAAACGGAGCCAATTTTGCTATGTTAACTTTTCTATTAAAATATGAACCAACGTAAAATATTTTTGAAGCTTTTATGATTAAAACATTTCGAATCATGAAAAAAATGAAAACTTTTTCCATTTTGCCACTTTCTGTTGGTTTTTCTTGGATGGAATTCCGGGAGTTGTCGAATCAAGCCATGATTGAGAGCAAAACTTGCAGGCTGTTAAGAGAGAGCAATTGAAGTCATAACTATAAAATGAGACCATGAGAGAGAGAGAGAGAAAAAAAACGAGTTTCTCCATCACCATGACCATGACCATTAGTTTAAAAGGTGGAAAATGGGGAGTGTTTGTTTCCCGAGAAAAATAAGGGGGAAAAGGGTGACTGAATCTACCTGGAAAATGAGGTGCCTTTTGTCTCTAATTAACACCATTATCCTTTACTATTTTTATTTACCAATTATTCAAACTTTTATAAATAAAATAATTATAATTGATATAGAAGAATTAAGTGAGAGATACCTGGAGAGACAGGTAGAGAGAGAGAGAG